CGGACCATGGCACACCAAGGAGCAGCTAGCCTCCTGCCCTGCCAGAGGCACCACGTGCCGATCATGCGGCATCAAAGGGCACTACACATCCGTCTGCAGGAGATCTAGGCGGAGGCACACGCGGTCAGGCTCTGAAGACAGCCAGACATCTGACGGACCCCACCTGAACGGCGTGCAAATCCTAGGCGTCACAGCAAAGAAAACACCACAAGTCTCCCTCCTGGTTAGTCATCAGCGTGGACAGGGATCACTACTGTGGACGCCAGACACTGGAGCCGAAGTCTCTGTCATCGGCTCCAGAGAAGCAGAGCGGATTGGCATCGACACAGCACATCTGACACAGCCGGCAGACCGGCTCCTGGCCGCTGGAGGACACCAGTTGAAGTGTGCCGGCTCGCTCCAGTGCACACTCACCATGGGACAGCGCCAAACGTCCACCACCGTAACCGTCATACCGGGTCTCCAGGCAGCCCTCCTCTCATGGTACGACGCCATCGCCCTGGGGATAATCTCGCCGGACTTTCCGAAGCAGATCTACGGCATCACGGAAGCAACCGGAACGTCGCCTCCTGCTACCGGGCACACGACAGCAGCGCCGGTAACGGCGCGCTCTCACACGGCGGTGGATGGCGACTCATCTCTCCCCACATGGGATCCAAGGAAAGGTGATCCGACTCCAGCACAGAGGCAGGAGCATCTAGACGCTCTGAAGAAGGCGTTCCCGATGGTGTTCAACACTCAGCCACCACTACGAGAGATGGCAGGCGGCCCAATGCGGATCGAACTAAAGCCAGATGCTCGCCCGTACGCGGTGACAGCCGCCAGAAACATCCCGCACGCATGGAAAGACGACATCAAGCGCCAGCTGGACGATCTGATCGCACAAGACGTCATCATGCCCGTGTCCCACCCGACCGAGTGGTGTCACCCGATGGTTCCGGTACCGAAGCCGCCGACAGACGGAAGCGGCGGCAAGACTTCCGTGCGGATGTGCGTGGATCTGACCAAACTCAACCTCTACGTCCGACGTGGAGCCCATCCTGTCACCACTCCTCACGATGCCGTCACCGGAATCGAGCAAGGCAGCCGATTTTTCACGAAGTTGGACGCGAAGTCAGGGTACTTTCAGATCCCGATCGCAGAGGAGGACCAAGACCTGACGTGTTTTATAACACCCTGGGGGCGCTTCAGGTTCAAGCGCGCCGTCATGGGCCTCTGCACGTCCGGTGACGAGTACGGACGGCGCGGAGACACAGCACTAGCTGGCGTGCCGAGAACGAGCAAGGTGGTAGATGACATCCTGGCATTTGACGACGACTACTCAAACCACCTCCAGCATGTTATCCAGATCCTCCAGCGGTGCGACAGCCACGGAATCACCCTGAACCCGGCGAAGGTGACGTTTGCCGCCGAGACGCTGGACTTCTGCGGATACGTCATCAGTCCTGACGGCTACACGGCAGACCAGCGCAAGGTGCGGGCGATAGCCGACTTCCCGACCCCAGAGAATCTCACCGACCTGAGAAGCTTCATGGGACTAGTGAACCAGCTCGGAGCGTTCTCAACGGACACAGCCAGAACGGCCGAGCCTCTGCGAGACCTGCTAAGACCCCGCAACCACTGGGCATGGACTACAGTACACCAGGCAGCGTTTGAAGCCGTCAAAGCAACGCTCATCGAGCCACCGATCCTGGCTTACTTCGACCCATCGCTGCCAACAACAGTCCACACAGACGCCTCGCGACTCAAAGGTTTGGGCTACGCGCTGCTGCAGCGTCACGGTCAGGACTGGAAGCTAGTGCAGTGTGGCTCCAGATTTCTCACTGACGTCGAGTCACGGTACGCTGTAGTGGAGCTCGAGATGCTGGCAGTAACGTGGGCAGTGCGCAAGTGCCACGTCTACCTGGCCGGGATGCCGGAGTTCAGACTCATCACCGACCACAGACCTCTGGTTCCCATCCTGAACACCAAGTCTCTGCCAGAGATAGAGAACCCAAGGCTCCAGCGACTGCGGGAAAAACTCATGTCCTACAGCTTCACAGCAGTGTGGAAAGCTGGCAAGACGCATCAACTCCCAGACGCACTATCAAGAGCACCGGTGGACCACCCGAGTCCCGAGGACGAAGAAGCAGAGCACGAAGTGGCACACCAGACGCGCAGCGTCCTGCTGGCACACATCAGGAACGGCGAAGACGACGACGGAGAAGGTCCACCATTTCGTGACGTCATTCTAGACAAGATCAGGGAGGCCGCCAGAACGGACGAGACCTACCAAAAGCTGACAGATGTAGTCCTGCACGGGTTTCCTGATCACAAGGCGGACCTCTCCAGCGTGATTCACCCCTACTGGAGCGTCCGCGAGCGACTTTCCGTGGACGACGGACTCCTCGTCTGCGGGGCCAGACTGATCATTCCGCACAGTCTCCGACGAGAAGTGCTGGACCGTCTCCACGACAGCCATCAAGGCGTGGCCCGGACGAAGCGGCGCGCCAGGCAGTCCGTCTTTTGGCCCAACATCTGTCAAGAAATCGACAACCTCGTGACATCATGCCAGCTCTGTCACGAGCGGCTACCCAGCCTTCCGAAGGAGCCGCTCATGACCGACCCTCTGCCGACGAGGGTGTTCCAGTCGGTATCGGCGGATTTCTTCCAGCACGCAGGGAAGACATTCCTCGTGTACGCCGACCGACTCTCTGGCTGGCCAATCGTCGTCTCCTGCAAATGGGAAGCAACATCACGAACTCTCGTCCGCTACCTGCGCGAGATTTTCTCTTCCACAGGCGTGCCAAACATTCTGAGAAGCGACGGAGGGCCACAGTTCTCTGCGCATCACACGAGGGACTTCCTGAAACGCTGGGGGGTCGAGCACGTGCTCTCAAGCCCTCACTATCCACAGTCGAACGGCCACGCCGAGGCCGCAGTCAAGCTCGTCAAACGCCTCCTGCAGAAGACGTCGGTGGCTGGGAACACGGACTGTGACGAGTTCGCTCGAGGCATCCTGGAGATCAGAAATACACCTGGGGCAGACGGACGCTCTCCCGCCCAAATTCTGTATGGGCATCCAGTGCGGTCGGCAGTCCCGATGCATCGTCGAGCCTTCGACAAAGTCTGGCAGAAGGCCGCAGAAGACTGCGACCGAAAGGGAGAGGAGAGACAGAAGAAAGCGGAAGAAGCGTACAACGAGCGAGCCAAGCCATTGCGGCCACTGCGCATCGGCGCGCACGTCTCCGTCCAGGACTCGACCACGGGCCTGTGGGACAAGATGGGACTCGTGGTGGGCATCGGACGCCGCCGAGACTACCTCGTCAAGACGCCGAGCGGCCGTATCTTGTGGCGTAACAGGAGGTTCATCCGCCCCTACCGCCCAATCATCGCAACACGAGGAGGTCTGGCCCGCAGAGACAACAAGGACGGGACGCCCGCCCCAACTCGAAAGACGGTGCGGTTCTCGGAGATGCCGCCGGAGACAATGGCACCGCGGCGCACCGGCCGACGGCGTCAGCCCCCGGGGAGGTTACAGGTCGACCCGGAGCTGAAGACCTACCGGTCGACCCGGGGGGAGATGTGAGGTTTCCTAGTTAGTCGGGAGACGTTATTGTATTGGCATTTGCCATGGTGTTGGACCTCGCATATTATTTCACGTGTTTACCGTTTCCATGGTTACGACTTTGGATTTGTATGAATGAACAGGGTCGATGGATTGATTCTGGCCGGGCTGAGTCCGAACATGTCTGTGCTCCTTCTTTGGTTTATATTGTGAACCGCCAATACACGTAGCCGGTTCCATGTGGCATTTCTCAGCACCAAGAAGACCTAACAGGATCGGGTGTCATCTGTTCCTCAGGGCGGCCACAAATGTCCGCCGTCTCAGATGGAACAGGCGGACCAGCACAGGTTGAACCGTTTACGACGGTCACCGAGATCCAGATCAACTGTGACGGATGAGGGCTGGCTGGCGCCGGCAAGTATTACCGGACGAGCTTCGCTATGGAGAAATTAAGCTATGGGCGATTTAAAAAACTTCTCTTCTAGTTACCCGCTCGAACTCACTTGCTACCATAAATTTTCTGTATGATTTTGGTCTGAATTCATTCAATTCAATCAACTGTCCCGAAATTTTGTCTGAAGTCGTTCCATTTTCCGCTCCTTTATCTAATCGAAAAACCATCAAATCTCTGTTCCTCTCAACTGTCTCAGCGTGAAGCCATCAGAAGTGACATAGCGTCTCTGTCTCTCCCGCTACCTCGGAGTGACGCGTCGGAGTGACGTCCTCTGGCGGACCGAGTGACGGACCAATTACCGGCGATGACAGTCGCACCACTGGGGATCGCTGATGATCGGAAAATGGCGACAGTTGAGGGCGGGGACAGGGCACTGGGTCGGAGGACTTTGTTTGTGGATGTCCGTCCCCATCTGAAGGAGGCAGATTTAGAGAAACCCGGTAATGTTTTGGGTATGACGGTGACGGTGGCAATTTATTTTACGGATAAACGGGATATGAGGTGAAACAGAATATTGGACTAAAATGCTGTTGCTCATGTCACGTAAAAACATCACCCTTCCAAAGGAATGGAATGCACGAAGATTTTGTGTACGGCAGGAGTGGGCGTGCGTCCCCTTGGGTCACGCGTAAATCTCTCCACGCGTGACCCAAGTGACCGCCACCATACAGTCCCGGGCACAATTACTGTACGTTCAAATAAGGGTTAATACTGTCGAACTGTATTTAAGCTGTCAAACATATGACTTATGTGCATCAGAGTTGTTAAATTGCTCGGGCGATGAAGGCTAAATGATCGTTACGCATCCCTGCATTTTGCTATTACGGTAGTAATTAGGCTAGCAGAGTGCTTCGCAGTTCGTACTCAAGACTCTGATGCAAAAACGTAGGAGGCCGAAGATATGTCACGATATATTTGAGCCCGGGCCGGCATCGTTGCTCAGAAAGGAGAACCACACTCCTCATGCATTGGTCTACAACGCAGATTTTTAAAAACAAACAAGTCTAATCAGATCGTTTATTTCTGAATAGAAAACAAGCAACGACAATAAAACGACTCAACAAAAATGGAATGTTGACATCAGGGTTACTGCGCACACGTTAAAAAATAAGTTAATCTGCATTCTACTGCCGTTAGGAAAACCGCCATCATCATCACAGCCGAATCTTGTTAGCGGGTTGACATTCGACACTCGATCGACTTTCATCACGGCCATGCACACAACTCACACTAACTTCCCATCCAACATAATCGCATCACTGTCGACTCCGATCGGCCACCGCCGCCGACGCGCGCGCCATCTCTGGGCGGAGCCGGTAACTAGCGCCGCTATAAATGACGCTGACGTCGTTTGTACTGACTGGCTACGCAGGATCGCCGTCGGCATCCGGCGAGTTTCTGAGCCGCCACAGGCCGACCGTGTGGTCACTGTGCAGAGCGCGGGCAGGCAGGGTCACACAAAGGTCACACAGAGGTCAGCCGGGGTCAGTGGAGGGCACAGAGCGTGCGGGTCAGTCGACATGCACTGGCAGTGCAGTCATGGGGCGCAGCCGGTGCAGAGCTGTAAAATGGTACACGAGATACGGGGCGAATGACAAGTTCATGCATAAAAAAGGTTGTCAACAATCAGTGAAATGCTTCAAACAGACAAATCACAGGACAAATTGCGAACGATGTATGCAATCAAATGCTTATGCTGTAACGAGTAACGTTGTAAACCGAGCCCTCTCCGATATAACTGGAGTGTCGGTGCTCGCCAAGGGTTTATAACACGTAACAACCAATCAAGCAGCACAAATTAACGCAAACAAGGACAACACATACCAACCAACATTGAACAAGCTAGGACCACATAAAGCGGGCAAGATAAGGCTGGTCGGCAGGTGCATCAGATGATCAGGGCAGCCAGTGGTCAGATCCGGGCAGGTCGGTTTGTTTGTTTGTTTTGTTTTGTAAGGTTAGGCCCTTTCGGTCGACAAGACCATTGCAGAGCCGGAAGGATGATAGGAATTAGGGGGAGACATTGGTCTGGGCAGGCACCCTAGTGAGTCGCCGGGGCTGAGCCCGTCCAGAGGACAGGCCACCCAGCCCCAAGGCACTCACTGCACCCGGCTACGGGGTGCGCTCCCTCAGGAGCAGCGGTGCCGCTCCAAGGGAGCAGCCCGCATGAGATAAAATTGCCTGTCCAGCCCGGAGGGGGGTTGCAGCTTGTAGGAGAAGGATTTCAGTATCCTGAGGATAGAAGCACGGATAGGTGGGCAGGTCGGGGTGGTTTCAGCCGTGTGTCTAGGTATGGTCGACAAAGCTAGGACGGGTCGGGGTCGTGCTCGGTCTGGTGCTGGTGACGCGCGGCGGCACAGTGGCGCCACACGGCGGCGGCGGCGTAAGCTGCGACTGCCAGCGCGGCCAGCAGGAGGAGGGCGCGCGGCGGCGGCCGGAGGGGCTATACGGCCAGCGAGAACACGCGGCCCGTAGACCGCGTCATGGCGGAGCAGAGGTGGGCGGGCACGGCGCCGGTGGCCAGCCGCCACAGCGACACCTCGCCGCCGCTGTCACACCGGAGAGGGGAGGAGTCAGAGAGGGGAGGGTGGGAGCACGGCGCCGGCGGCCAGCCGCCACAGCGACACCTCGCCCCCGCTGTGGGGTCAGCAGGGGAGAGGGTTAGACGGGGAGGGGAGGGTGGGGAGCACGGCTCCGGCGGCCAGCCGCCACAGCGATACCTCGCCGCCGCTGTGGGGTCGGGAGGGGAGGAGTCAGAGAGGGGAAGGGAGGGTGGGGGGTACGGCTCCGGCGGCCAGCCGCCACAGCGACACCTCGCCGCCGCTGTCACACCGGAGAGGGGAGGAGTCAGAGAGGGGAGGGTGGGAGCACGGCGCCGGCGGCCAGCCGCCACAGCGACACCTCGCCGCCGCTGTAGGGTCCATAGGGGAGGAGTCAGAGAGGGAGAGGAGCCTTCACTTGACTGGAGGGTCGCACAAGCACTGAAGAGTCGGTAGTGACTGCCCAAGGCCCACTGGCACTCTGAAGAGGAGCCTCAGCCTGCTGCCAGTCCCTATTGCCCGTCAGACACACACCTGTCACCAGCGTTAGTGTAGTTACTACAGTGGACACTGCCCGGGACAACTCAACTGACTGGAGCATACAGTTACAAAATGACAAAGGGGAGAGCGTCAGTCACACAGTTCTATGGGCACAGTCGCGCTATCAGTAAGAGACGATCAGTCACAGGTACTATGCTCGTAATTGACAGACAGTCGGTTACCATACAGTCTACGGTTATACGCGGCTGTCTGCACACTAAAGTAGCACTGACATGATAATTAGTTATAACACAGAGCAGCAGCGCACAAACATAATCCCGTTAGCACACACTGGAACCGACCGCTCATAACACACTGAAAGTGAACATAGGGAGCCGTCAGAAAACAACTGCAACAGCATCAGCATTCCAGAGTTTATCGATCTGCTACATTTACAGCCTACTGTAAAATTCAGTCAGGGAGAGTCAGCTGCTTCTATTTACTTCCATACCCGTACATCATCACCAATCACTCCCCCACCCCACCATCCACCAACGCCCCAAAACTTCCACTCCGTCATACTCACTTGGCGGCCGTGAAGACGTGCGACTGGTTGGCGGCAATGGCATTGATCTGCGAGTTGTGAGCCTTCAGCTCGCCGAGGGGCTGACACCCGTCCACACTCCACAGTTTGACCACGCCGCCACGGCATCCGGAGAGGAGCGCCTGGCCGCCCGGCGCCAGACTCAGGCCGCAGATCCAGTCACGGTGCGCGTTACTGACGCTCTGATGAGAGGGAGGAGAGGGTCAGGTACAGATCCAGTCCCGGTTCGCGTTACTGACGCTCTGAGGAGTGGGATGTTATAGCTTAGATTTATCGAGAGAAATCAGTGGATAAAGCCACAATTAATAATTATTTTAACAAAGAAGCTTTTGAAGTTTGATAGTTTCCGGAATCATTCATTACTTTGAGGTAAAAGGTGAATAATCACGCAGACGCAACACAGGAATAAATATACTCCCCACTCAAATATTTTTCTGTCTCTGACGCACGTCGATACTAACGTTAAACGCCTTCCACACCGGTTACTCGTGCCGCGCTGTACAGTCCCTACCTGGAGCAGCGTCTGTCGCCGCAGGTCCCACTGTTTGATGCACGCGTCTCGGGACCCGGAGAAGAGGGTGTCGCCGTCGGCCACCACCAGGCACTGGATGCCGTCATAGTGCGGCGGGTCCAGGCTCAGACTCTGCTGGACGATGCCGTTTGTGTCGTCGGGCACCTCGAAGCCCTTGATGTAGTGGTCCTTGGATCCGGTGAGGACGAGGTCTCCGCCGCGCCGCCGGTCCACGGCCAGACACATGATGGCCGCCTGGTGGCCGCCGCTCAGCTTACCCACGCTGTGGAACCTGCCGGAGAAATAGATGAAGAGGTTAGGAACACGTCTGGAACCTAGGGAGTTAGGTAGCGAAGTTATTCATACAGCCGGAAACAGCACAGCTGCAGCCGACTACCCGAGTGCAGGCGGAACAAATGCACATTAAAGACCCTCCGATTCCAATACTGTGCCGAGTTACATCCCTCCATTGTCAGAGTGAAAGTACAGCTACTTACTTTAGGACCCAAAAGCCCCACTAACACCAAGATCCCCCACTTCACTCTCATTCACTACTTTCCCGACATCCCTTCCTAGTCCGACTCGCTTCCTGGAATCCCCACTCCCCATATTCCCTGACTCACTTCCTGATCCCCCAACTGATTCTCTTCCAACTCACTTTTTAAGGTCCCACATTCCCCTCCGACTCACTTTCTGAGGTCCCATGACCCACATTCCCTCCAACTCACTTTCTGAGGTCCCATGACCCACATTCCCTCCAACTCACTTTCTGAGGTCCCATGACCCACATTCCCTCCAACTCACTTTCTGAGGTCCCATGACCCACATCCCCTCCGACTCACTTTCTGAGGTCCCATGACCCACATCCCCTCCAACTCACTTTCTGAGGTCCCACTACCCACAGCCCCATCCGACTCACTTTCTGAGGTCCCACATCCTGACCGTGCTCTGGCTGGCCGTGTACAGCGCCAGGCCGCTGCCGCTCACACACACGTCGTTGATCTGTGACTCTCCCTGAGGCATCTGCAGCGTTCGGGACGGCGTGGAGACGGCCACAGTCGCAGAGGTGAGGCCCGAGGAGCTGTAATGAACCGACAGGGTATGGTGAGTGATCGGGGAACTGAACTGAACCGACGCGGCACAAAGGCGAGAGCCGACGAGCTGCAATGAACCGACACTCGACTATGATAAACGGTCAAAAGACTGACGAACAGACGAATATGGAAAAAGAAGTTTTATTGCATCCAAGTAATACAAAATGAGGCTGGCTTTCTGGAGAAACACTAAGCAAATAATAACGGTCACGTAAAAAAAACACGCACCATCATATTGTCTTCAAAGTTCAAGGCGCAAATATTTTGACCACTCACCTGAGCGTTTTGATGCACTGTGCGCCGCCCTGCCGTAGGTCCCAGACCTTGACAAAGGCGGATGACACACTGAAGGCCATCTGGGCGGCCTCCGAGTACCGGACACACACCACGTTATTGGGGTGGCCCGTGAGGAGCTGCACTTGGCGGCCGGTGGCCAGGTCCCACACCTTCACCGTACGGTCTGTAACGGAGGCAATGTTAGAGAGTGTACCAGCGACAGTCTAGGTCCCACACCTTCACCGTACGGTCTGTAACGGACATACTGTCAGAGGGTGTACCAACGACCCCAGACCATACACCTTCACCGTACGATATGTAACGGAGGTAATGTCAGAGAGTGTATTACTGACCCCAGGTCCCACACCTTCACCGTCCGGTCTGTAACGGGACACATTGTTAGAGGGTGTACCAACGACCCCAGGTCCTACACCTTCACCGTCCGGTCTGTAACAGATATATTGTCAGAGGGTGTACTAACGACCCCAGGTCCCACACCTTCACCGTCCGGTCTGTAACGGAGATATTGTCAGAGAGTGTATTACTGACCCCAGGTCCCACACCTTCACCGTACGTCTGTCGGTGTCGGTGTCGGTGTCGGTGTCGGTTCACGGCAGTCTGTCCCGTCTGTAACGGGACAGACTGCCAAAGAGTGCACTAACGACCCCAAGCTCGTAATGACTTAAAATTGCCAGAGACGGTAAGTAACTGACCATCCAAAAACAGTTCCCCATCTACATACAGTCTTTCAGGGTGTCCCGATTCATTCATTCCCAGGCCTCCCGCCGTATCTACCACTCGCTCACCTTTTGATCCAGACAGCATCATGTCATCGGTGGCACACACTGACAACACCGCCTTGGTGTGTCCCTCGGCCACGTGAGAGCAGACGAGCGGGGCGCGGCCGGCCCGGCCCTGGTATGGCGTGATGACGCCCACCTCGTGAGACTCCTCCTGGGGACGAACGTAGTAGTGAGACGTACGATTCCGTCAAGGACTGGACACGGTAGTGAGAACCCGAGTGATCGTCCAGCATACTAGGGGGTGGGTACCGTAATTGGCCGCAAAGGATCAGTTTAATCCTGTCGTCCGTCTGGGACAAAGCGATACGCAACAACCAACGATATTCAGAAGCGACGACATACAGACAGTAGGCAGACATCGACAAGAACATAAATTCCGAACTACAGTAACTTAGTCACATATCTCGTATTAATTCCGCGCAAAGCAAAAGAGCACCATCCTCCCCAAGCCACTGTCAGCTACCTGACCCTCTCATTCTTCAGTATAAGTTAGCTGCATCCGTCAGAAGCAGCCCCTGTCAGTTACCTGTGCCGGTCCTGTGGAGGTGAGCCGGTGGAACACGTTCTCCTCGCGGGACGCCTGACGGCGGTACGAGGCCGGGGAGCCGGGCGGGGTCACAGCGCTGGTCTCAGAACTGCGGGCGGGAAGGGTTGGGTTACACAATACACATCTGACGGCGGTACGAGGCCGGAGACCCGGGAGGTGTCACAGCGCTGGTCTCAGAACTGCGGGCGGGAAGGGTTGGGTTACACAATACACATCTGACGGCGGTACGAGGCCGGGGAGCCGGGCGGGGTCACAGCGCTGGTCTCAGAGCTGGGGACGGGAAGGGTTGGGTTACACATCTGACGGCGGTACGAGGCCGGGGAGCCGGGAGGTGTCACAGCGCTGGTTTCAGAGCTGGGGGCGAGACAGGGAGGGTCAGAATTACAAACCGAAGAGCCGGGAGGGGTAATGCCACTCGTCTACGAGCTGGGGGCAGGGCGGGTCCGGACAGAATAATCAAATACAGGGAGGGGCCACATCGCAGCTGTTCCCAGAGCTGGGGACCTGACGGATCAAGTTTAGTCTGATCAGCAGCAGTGCTAGGATACCACCGAACATTAACTGAGCGTGTTGGTTGGAAATAAAGTCAGCGTTTATCACTTATTTCATATTAAAGAAAACAAATTACAGCCGACACCCGGTGGAAAAAATGAGACAGCCCAGCCCAGCCAAGTAAAATTAAGTGACTGCCGTGACTGATAGCGCCCACCAAACTTTAATCAAATACAGTGAACTATTTTAATACGACTTTCTATCAAAGTGATTGGTACGTAAAATCTATGCCTTGACATTAAACTGAGTTGACCTCGAAACTCAGCAATTTCAGTCAAATCCATCAGCCCCTTATCCCAGCCAATATAGCAGATGACACCTGGAATGGACCACCGTTAAGGCGCACTGCCTCCCCGTCCCTCCCACAGATAATACTCACGGTCTGAAGGTGTTGTTAGTAATGGTCACATGGCGTCGCGCCAGCCGCGGCGACAGCGAGTCCTTGTACGCTCGCCGACCGAGCAGCGGAGAGGGGCGCGGGTCGGGGCGGCCAAATGTCCTGTCACATACAGGGGGAGAGCCCCAACCCCGCTACAAATCCCGTACACCGCACACCGCGCCGGGGTAGGGTCACAGAACGGAGGGGGAGTTATAAACAGGTGGTTAGGGGCGTTAGAGGGGCTAAAATGACGGCAAAGCGGCAAAAGATGAGCGATCAAAAGAATCACGGTTATTGTGTGTAAATCTAGGAGGCCAAAAAAGTCCCGAGTTTTATTAGACCTCTTGGTGAGACACTATTCTTAGTAGAAAATACCTGAGAATGGCACAAAATATTTGCATATCAGTATTGAGAACACACAACTGTATTAAACATTGAACACACGTCAGTTCAGTTAACTGGGGAGTGGACATGGATTGAGAAAGGACCTTATCTTCCACCCACCTGCTCGATCCGGACACCGTGTCATTTCCGGACACCGTGTGACTCAGAGACCGTGAGAAGACGGGCGGGGCGGCCGGCGGCTGCGGCAGAGACCGGGTGAACGCCGGCGGTACGGCTGTCTGCGCGGGCGGGGGCGGCATGGCCAGCCGCCCGTCAGCGTCCCCGCCGCCACTGGATCGTCCCCCGCGGCCCTCCTGAGCCGCCGGAGAGCCGGCAGGGGACGGGTCGCCGCTGCCGCCGCCGTTCGAGTACAGCAGCTCCTGGGTGGTGGTGGTTTTTCGCCGGGCCTTGTCACGGGCCGGAGCGGGCGCGGCCCAGGCCGGCGGCTGGTCGGCGGCCTCCCCGTCCGAGACGGAGCCGTCACTGGGCTCCTGCTGCCCGGCCTCGGCGATCAGGGAGAGAACGGTGGCGTCCAGGCCGCCCTCCTCGGTCAGCAGGTGCTGCAGCAGCTGCTGCTGAACGATGCCCGTCTGCTCCATCTGACGACCGAGGGAGAGATAGCGTCACACTCCATACAGCCATCCCTGACATCTATTGAACGATACCCGTCTGCTTCATCTGTGCCGAACTGGAAGAGAGAGTCATGCCACAAGCACCACAAATGTATCAGCATTTTTAGCAGAGATCGCTATTCAACATCCTTCTTTTTTCATTCAGGGCCATGCATAAATGCCAGTTAACTCACCAGTCATTTGGGCTGAAGATTGGGATTTGACATCAACCTGTCGACTGAGCATCCCCCCCAACCACCTACAGTTTTTGCTATCGTGCGACTCCAGGTTAACCTTCCTGTGCTAGAGTGCGAGTTGTCGCTATTTTCTCACCTGTTCCATTTTGACCTCGGTATCTTTGGCGGTGGCCTCGTGCTGCGCGGCCACGCAGCTCTGGTGGATGGTCATCGAGATGAGCTTCTCCAGGAGGTACTCCATCTCCTCCTGGTCCTGCATGTTACGAACCAGCTGGGCAGGGTCCTGGATCGGCAGGTCCTCCTGAAGATGACAGGTCACAGGACAGATGTCAGGGGCGTATACCGTTAGGTCGCTGTCCTCTTGACCTTGTCACGGTGGCTGCAGCTGGCTGTGCAGCTGACAACCTAAATTGGGATGTTCAGATAAGGTGCTGCAATTGACAGGATATGCAACAGATTTATGCATATGACTACATAAATATGTTATCGTTTTATTACTAAGCAATTCGGGGCCGTGAGGCACCACAGAAGAAAACAAGTGTCAAACTCTCACGACTGGTCGCACTCGCCTTGGACTCCTCCATGGCCATGATGCCCGTCTGGCACTCGTTGATGCTGTCGTTGATGTAGTCCATGTTGGCGCGGATGCCCTCGATGGTCTCCTCGAGCTCCAGCATCTGTTGCTGCGTGCAGCCGGCCAGCAGCACCTTATCGCGCTGCTTCATCACCCGCGCCAGGCGACGGCGCAGGGACTCGCGCTCCTTCAGGTGCCTGTGCGAACGACGGACGGGCGGACGGACACAGTGTCATGGAACCGAGCTATTGCCTATGAAAATAAGTATAAACACTTTTATTCTTGCGTATTTAAGCACGAAACGACTACTACGATAGAAAAGCTAGGGCAAGTTCTAAAGTTCATTACCTAAGAGTTACAACCCTGACCTACAAAGAGTTGTAATGTAATCTACATGTAGTTGCGATCTAAATTTTCTCCCTAGCCTCGACTCGGGTCAATCTCACAGACGATTCCCAGAGTATCAGAGTGCTACTGACCGTTCCATCTCCCTCTCCATGCTGGCCACGGCCTGTTTGTTCAGCGCCAGCTGGTTGATGGTCTTTTCCAGCGACTGCCACTTCTTCTTGGCGGCGGCCGGCGAGAACGGCTTGGTCGTGTCGGCGCTGCCTGAGGAAGATAATAGCGGATACTGAGACACGCTCTATTTGCTGATGGGCTTGATTAAGTGACATGTTCTGACAGAAAAGAAACCGAGGTGTTATGAGAACTTGCCTCTAAGAGGATCAGCAGATGTTACGTCAGCCACTATCTTTTCATTTTAAGTGTTTTGATCCTATTGTCCGCATTAAAACGCTCAAACAAATGGAACTGAACTGGAATTCCGTGAAATAACATAAAGCAAAGTTCTGGATGCCAGCACAACTGACATCACGCACTGGAAAGCGCGGTACTCAGTGCCCCGCCACACACCTTTGAGCCTGAGCCTGTTTCGGGTGCGCTGGGGCTTCCCGAGTCTGCGGAGCGCCACAATCTCCTCCTGCTTCCGCTTCAGTACCGCGTCCTTCATCCTCTTCTCCGCCTCCAGAGACTTGATCTGACGAGACAGACACGGGAAGATGGTGAGACAGGTGGCGAGAATGGCGGTCAGATGTGGTCAGGGAGACGACTGACTGCTGCAGAGGATTGAACTTAACATTATGATAGAGGACAGTTACAAGTCACGGCGATGGAAAGAAGTACGAGCGAAATAGGCAGTAAAGGCTACGGCGTAATAATATGAAAAGACTCTAGTTGATAAGCTTCGATTCTGCAACGTTACACTGCACTCCAGACTAATTCCAATTCACAGGAAAACAGTCATGCGGTAGTCTCACCGTGTTTTCGTGTTTCCTGTGCTCCTTTTTCAGCTGCGACATGGCCCTGTGGTGTTGCAGGTCCATCTGTTTCATCTTGTTGGCGTCGTCTTTCATTCGCTGCATCAGCTTCACCTGAGAGCGAGAGTGGGAAAGGGTAAGAATGAAGGTGGATTATATTCTAATATTCGGCAAACGTAGAAAAGTGGCGCAGCTCTATTCAGAGGCCGTCGACTTTGGCGGCGGGTCAACACCACTACATCAAAAGAAAGACACATCAACTCGGGTTACGTTACCAAATATTGTCTACAAACCGTATTTTTTTAATCAAATATTGTGCAAGTGTACATGGAATAAACTGCCCCGTCCATAAAATCCGTAACTCGCGAAGTCTACAAACTAAAACCCACCTTCGTCTTCTTCATTTCAGTCACCTCGCTCTTGAGCGTTTTGACCTGCCGCTCGTACTGTCCCTGCGAGCGGACCAGTTTGGCGTGCTCGCGTTTGGCCGACTGCAGCTTCTTCATCTCCCGCTCCATCTCGGAGAGTCGCTTCTCATAGTCGTCCTTCACCTTACGGACCTCGTCTGAGGAGCCGCCGGAGCGACGGCCGGACGCTGCGGCAGAGGGGGACAGGTGAGGGCGTGGGTGGGGGTGTTACATGAGAATGGACGTTGGTTTCAAATACAACGGTTCCAGATTAGCTGAGGATGATGCCACTATTGTACGCACAAGAAACCAAAACGATAAGTTTGAGTAAGCCACTTTTCGTCAACTTCAAAAGATCCTAGATGAGATAGCCGTCGCAGGTTGTGCGCCAAAATTATAGCCACACCCATTAGCTGAAATCCAGTGAGCGAAAATTCCACACACAACAAAACATAAAGCCACAGATCCGCAACATACTGCCTTTTTCACATACCTCTATCATCATTTTACTGCATCAAAACCTTAATCCATCGCACCCCGTCATTATTAACCGACCCTCACTCACTGATGTTGGAGATGACCTTATCGCGCTCCTGCTCTGTCGCTCGTATCCTCCCGCTCAGCTGGGACAGTTTCTCCTCGTAGTGCTGCCTCATGGTGTCCATGCGCCGCTGGGACCGCTCCAGTTCCTCGATCAGCCGCTGTTTGACTGTGATCTCCGAGGTGAGTTCGGCCAGCTGCTCGTTATAGTCCTCGTTTTCTGCGGGGGTAGAGGGAGGGGTTAGAGGGGATTTGGTGGAAGGAGGAGGAGCAGAGGGACGAGAATATAGGGGATGTCGAAATATACATATAGTCGAGTTACACAATATAACTGAGAGATAAACAAAGCGATTTATCGTTCGTTCGTTCGTTCGTTCGAAGCGATCGTTCGACATATGAGTTTACCCGTCGGGCACGTTTATCTGAAACTTCGTTATACCAGGCAACCTAACTTACAGTTCAGCCTCCAACAAAGCATGCAATACTGCAACAAAAATAAAACAAGAATGTAAGACAAGCCTTGTACTTGCAGTCCCTTCCAAGATAACGGTTGGAAGTTCGCTAAAACAACGATGAACTTTACTATCCATATGCATGCGCCGTATCACAAGAAAGCACATTTATATTCAGGGTATATTATTAGCATTTAGATCATCAGATAGGGAGCAGGAATACGGGTCAGTTTCCTGGTTTATTAGGCCCATTCCCCGTTACCAGCCACCGATAACCTGTCATGCATGGTCCACCAATCACCATCATAGCTCCTGGTCTTTGAGCACCACCACTGCTCTCCCAAAAGCTCCACTTATTCCGACCACACCCGGTCCGTGGCCACTAACAATTCAGCTGGCACGTTCTGTGGCCATCAGCCATGATTGGATAATCCCTCAGCGCCGCCCGGGCCCCCGTCAGCGGCCGGTCGGGCGGCGCCGGGGGCGGCCCACCGTCCGTGGTACGGGCCCATAACTACGGGACGACGCGAGGCGCCCGCTCTCTACACTACCGCGGTGTTGGAGGGACTGCAAGGAATACAGACACCGGTAGGCTGGGATTACATTTACGCTTCCTTTATGCTCATTGCTCACTCCTTTAACAAATTTCTGTACCCACCAAACTCCTATATCTACTCGCTCAATAATTAACTACTTCTGTGTCTACCTTATGTCTTCTTCCCTGACTCCTACCCGAGTAAACCACCTGACGCCCAGTGACGGTGGATATCATCTGCGCTCGGTTATACCTTTGTCGTCGCTGCCGCGTCCGTCCACCGAGCCTTCTGGCTCCGAGTCGGCTCGGTCCGAGTCTGGGAACACGGGTGGCGTTAGTAACTGGCCGGCGGACACCGAGGACACGGCCCCAGGACACGGGCCACGGGGACGGGTGGCTAGCGGACATGACGGACTGAGTGGCCGCGCACCGCGTGCTGTTAGCGGGAGGATCCCATATTTACACAAATATTAATCATCACCAAACGGCCGGCTTGTTATGGGACTCATTTATACACGCACTGGTAAACAGTGTCATGTTAAACTGGATCACATTGGTACAATGAAAAATGTGAGAGCGAAACTTTTAGTTAATAAATCATACGACAAAGCTCAGTCACAACATTAACGCCGCTTCCCATAGCGTGAAACATTTACAGGATAATAACATCAACGCTCCATTACCGACTGTTAACGTGTAGTTAGTCACACCTGTTAATCACAGTAAAATGACGTCCAACCACCAAACACCCTCCCTAGTGCCTTCCTTTGCCGCTCGTCACTCCCCTTCATACCTTTATCGTTCTCGTCCCCACTGTCGCTCGACTGTTCAGTCTCTCTGTCGGCCGAGGATCGACCTCCCTCGCTGGAGGACCGTCTCAGGCCGCTCTTGGTTCGTGCTCGCTCCAGGTCACGGCGGGCTTCCTCAATAAGCTCGGTGACACTGCCAGAGTCGACCTCCACCAGGGAGAGCTGCACGTCGCCTGGGGGTCAACACGGGGTCAGACGGGGTCAGTAGGGTCAATGAGGGTCAGCAGAGGTCAGTAGGGGTCGTGGGTCAACAGGTTCACCATAGGTCAGCGTATGCAGGAAACATGAGAGTCAGAGCTCGGTCGAGTTTGTAAGTCGAGTTCCAAGGTCAGGGAAGACCAGGAGGTATCACCGGAGGCACGTTATTGGGTCAGTTTTGACGATTTGTCGGAATTGCGATGGAAGCTAAAACATCTAAACCAATACAAATGACAGAAACAGCAACATCCGGTTTGACCGGATCATCCAGCAGGTTACAGGCGCTAATTGAAAGTAGCGGATTACTGAAACGGCGTGCACAGTTGAGCTGCTGCAGCTCAGATCACACACGTAATCCGGTGGCTCTGACTCGTGTTTCGTAAGAGCGACCACAGATAACACTCGCACGATGTGCGGTAGCCAGCAGTCGCAGAATAATTACATAGTTCGCGTTCACAAGTACTAATTGTTAATGAGAAACTTTGAAGCTGCTACTCTGAGCAGCTGCTGATAAAAGAGTCTCGGGATCACTCAACGAGCTGGAAAGAAATTGAGTAATTGCTACGAGTTAAGCTCAATGTAAGGCGCTCTAACAGTTAACGGCCATGCCTTGTAGTGAAGACACTGCCCGAAAACAATGCAATGGATAATTGTCTAGAGGAGGCGATGCAAAACTCAAAATCATCGGTCGTTATAACTGGCAACAAGATACCTTCAGGGATTGCAAAAAAAAAAAAAAAAACTGAGAAGGCAAGATCATAAGAGAGCGGGAAAGATTAACGGGAGGACAGAGATCACGAAGATAGACTAACCGATGTCGACAACCTCATTCGACGCGCCCCGAGGATCAGACGAGGACGAAGGACAGGAGCCGCCGCTCGCTCCTCCGCAGTCCAACTCTCCCCCAGTGGTCCCACCGTGCCCCGCGGCGGCGGCAGCGGCGGCGGTGGAAGCAGGACTGGGCGGGGAGGATACGGCGTGTACGGTGAACGTCCGGTCCAGGATGGCAGGAGCGAGCCCCTCAAACCGGCGCACCATGGTCCGCACCATACCCTCGGCAGTCACAACTTCAGAAGTGACGACCTCAGAGGTCACGGGATCGGCTGAGGGAGGAAAAGGGGAAAGGATGAGGATAGGGAGGTGAGATAAGTGGGGAAACGATTCTTGGAGTAGTAGAACACATCAAAAATAGGACATAACTTAGTGTTAGCATTTTATTAAATGTTAGGGAGCCGGTAGGTCTCATATATAAAAAATGAGCTAGCCTAGGACACGCGGAACACGCTAATACTGAAGCTTCAATAGATTTGTTATCACATACACACTTGTTAATGATCTAGTGCCAGCCTGACGAATGCCCCTCGTCAAAGCGGTGCACCGCATCTAACCTGTGCCCGGGTGGCGGGGGCTGGTGCTGAGTCGCGACAGGTTCCTGTTGACACCCCGCTTCCTGAGCTGCTCGCAGGTACTCTCTGACTCCATCAGCCGGGCACGGAGCTCCTCGATCTCCTGCAGGTACCGCGATACCAGCTCGCTGACATCCCCGCTGGGGTCTGTGGGACGGACAATGGTTACAGAAAGTCAGACATGGTCGGGCTGGGTCGTGTCACCACGCAGGGACGTTGTGATGACGTCTCTGAAAATCAAGATGAGAAAATCGAGTTACATCATCAGATGAACCGCAGATTAAGTTCCCGGCGTTACAGTTGACCTTATCAACGAGCAGACCCGTGAAGAAATCGAACATTGATCGAATTGAACAGAATGGGATCTGATGGAACTTGGCTGATACGAAACAGATTTATAAAAAAAAAACTAAACGGCCAAATTCCGTTGTTGAGAGAAATGCACAACAATCATGGCTGTATAATGTTAAATTGTGCGTTTTCGCTTTTCATTTGGCCACCAAAACATGAAAATGTGACTAAAAAGTGCGTTCCATTCCTCGTTCCCTATCCACTCACCAGCGCCGATCCACTCTCCGGCGGCCTTCTCTGCCAGCAGCTGGGTGTTGCGCGCCGTCAGCGCCGTGATCGTCTCCTGGATGGCCTTGATTCGCGTCCGCAGGTTGGCGTTCTCCGTCTGCAGCATGTTGTTTTCGTGGTACATGTCGTTGATGGCCTCCGTGCCGTCCTCGGTCACCACCCGCTTACCCTGGAGGAGAGTGAAGGTGGGCTTTAGATAACGGCCTCATGTCAGGAGATCGAGCACTTAAAACAAAGGCAGTTAAACGAAGGGAAGACAAAACAGGACGGAACGGACCAGCTGTGTTATAAATAACATTTAGCTGGAAACTCCAATTCAATGGACAGGTCAGCGGCTCATCAAATAACAGCCATCAGAAAATATTAACATATAAGTCGTTTCCGAATTCTGGAGGGATTCTAAAATGTTCAAAACTTATGACAAAGTGATCATAGCAGACGCTCACCTAGCCTCTACTCCATCAACTCCTAGCCTGTCTGTACTGAATACAGGGAGAGGTACTGTGCTGCCGTGAAAAGGAAAAGAAGCGTAACTCGCTTTTGACGATTTTTCAGGAGAGCGATTTTTCTGTTTTACCTTTTATTATCGTCGGTTCTTAAATAAGCAAAAAAAAATTGGTGTCAAACTGTTCGCAATACTGCACTGAACCTAACAGTGTTAATATTTTTTACGTGGCATATAAGATATTGCTAAAAAATGGTGTAAGGTGTTTTTGCTTTTCACTCGATGCTCAAATTGCAGCGAGGCATGTAGGGAAGAAAAGCGTAACTACATTCACTCAAGTCCGGCAACCGTATGTGCAGCGCGCGGCTCCATAGCGAAATGCAAAAGAAGCGTAACTACGTAGTTACGCTTCTTTTGCTTGCGAGCTCTTATGGTATCGGCAAAATTGCGGTGTTTCAAATACGCCAGGACGAAGACGTCTTTTCTCCATTTCGGATGCCTAGATGCCTTTCAAAATAGCTCACGACTTTTCATGCTTAGACTTCATGCTTCATGCTTAGCAATCGCGGCCGTCAGGTCGCCACCTTCGGTACTGGCAGGTCAGACAGGCTGGACGGCCGTGGGGTCTCCTATACCGGTGCTAGCAGGCCGGACGGCCGTGGGGTCGCCTATACCGGTGCTAGCAGGCCGGACGGCCGTGGGGTCGCCTATACCGGTGCTAGCAGGCCGGACGGCCGTAGGGTCGCCCCTGTCGGAGCTGGCAAGTATGTAGGGCAGGTCGAGCGGCCGCCTCCTTCGGTGCTGGCAGGTCGGGCAAGCTGGGCGGCCATATGGTCAGCTCTGCCGGTGCTGGCGGGTCGGGCGGCCGTGGGGTCGCCTCCGCCGGTGCTGCAAGGCCAAGTGGCCGTGGGGTCGCCTCCTTCGGTGCTGGCAGGTCAGGCTTCCTTGGGGTTGCCCCTGTCGGTGCTGGGAGGTCGGGCAGGCCGGGCGGCCACGCTGTCGGCTGTCGCCCATGTTGGTGCTGGGAGGTCGGGAAGCCTGGCGGCCTTCGGGTCGCCTCTTCTGGTGCTGGCAGGTCGGGCAAGCCGGGCGGCCGTGGGGTCACCTCTGCCGATGCTGGCGGGTCAGGCGGCCGTGGGGTCGTCTTTGCCGGTGCTGGCAGGCCGGGCGGGCGTGGACTCAACTCTGCCGGTGCTGGCAGGTCGGGCGACCATGGGGTCGCCTCATTTCGTGCTGGCAGGCCGGGTGGCCACGTTTTCGCCTCTGTCAGTTCTGACAGTCCGAGCGGCCGCGGGTTTTCATCTGTCTGTGCTGGCAGGCCGGGCGGCCGTGGTGCCGTTGGGTAGCCTCTGCCGTTGCTGGCAGGCCGGGCAGCCGTGGGGTCGCCTCTGCCGGTGCTGGCAGGTCGGGCAAGCCGGGCGGCCGTGGGGTCACCTCTGTCGGTGCTGGCGGGTCGGGCAAGCCGGGCGCCGTGGGGTCACCTCTGCCGGTGCTGCAAGGCCAAGTAGCCGTGGGATCGCCTCCTTCGGTGCTGGCAGGTCGGGCGGTCTTGGGGTCGCCCCTGTCAGTTCTGGCAGTCCTGGTGGCCGGGGGATTTCATCTGTCGGTGCTGGCAGGCCGGATAGGCCGTGCGGCCGTGGGGTCGCCTCCTTCGGTGCTGGCAGGTCAGGCTCCCTTGGGGTCGCCCCTGTCGGTGCTGGGAGGTCGGGCAGGCCGGGCGGCCACGTTGTCGGCTGTCGCCCATGTTGGTGCTGGGAGGTCGGGAAGCCTGGCGGCCTTTGGGTCGCTTCTTCTGGTGCTGGCAGGTCGGGCAAGCCGGGCGGCCGTGGGGTCACCTCTGCCGATGCTGGCGGGTCAGGCGGCCGTGGGGTCGTCTTTGCCGGTGCTGGCAGGCCGGGCGGGCGTGGGGCCGTTGGGTCGCCTATGCCGGTGCTGGCAGGTCGGGCGGCCTTGGGGTCGCCCCTGTCGGTGCTGGCAGGTCAGGAGGCCTTGGGGTCGCCCCTGTCGGTGCTGGCAGGTCAGGAGGCCTTGGGGTCTCGTCCCTGTCGGTGCTGGCAGGTCAAGAGGCCTTGGAGTCTCGCCCCTGTCGGTGCTGGCAGGTCGGGCAAGCCGGGCGGCCGTGGGGTCACCTCCGCCGATGCTGCAAGACCGGGTGGCCCTGGGGTCGCCTCCTTCGGTGCTGGCAGGTCGGGCGGCCTTGGGGTCGCCCCTGTCGGGGCTGGCAGACCGGGCAAGCCGGGCGGCCATATGGTCAGCTCTGCCGGTGCTGGCTGGCCGGGCGGCCATGTGGGGTTGGATGTCGAAATGCAGGTGGGAAGATCCCGCCCCTGATCGTCCTATTTCACCAGAACTCGCTCGACTCTACTCCTGATTTCACATTTTCCTTTAGCTGCACGTGGACCTTTGTTCCGTATTTTTTTTATCGTTTCAGTTCTAAACCTCTTCAGAGACCAAGTCTGCTCCTAAACCGCAATTTGCACACGCTTCTGATAGAGTTCACAGCGAGCATGCACCACAATCAATAAAGTAAACTATTTGATATCGCTCGTGTGGCCTTGGTCCAGGGTATGGCGTGGCACCCCATACCTATACCTACTATTTCAAGTTGGTGGTTTTGAACTTTGGTTGCTTTTATCTTATAGTTTTCCTCCATTCAAACGCCCGGATACCTACTAGAAGATATTGGTGAAACATAGAAAGGCGGCAAACGCAAGCAAGAAGGGCTTAATATATTTTTAATGCTAATTTTCCTGGCAAAATTAAACTTCTACCAAGTGTTATGCACTCACCTGAAAGGCAAAAAAAGCGCAAGTGCGTAAAAGTCAGCGCGGTGATAAGCAAGAAAAGCGCAATTACTTAGTTGCGCTTTTCTTGCCTATCACATCGTCCTGACCGCTGCAGATACGCTTTTTTAATTGCTGCGTTTGTAGTTATGCTTTTTTTTGCTTGCGGTCAGGGAGGATGAAAAACATTTACGCTTTTCTCGAAAAAGAAAATTTGATATAACTCGAACAATTATACGAATTTCGAAAAACGGTTTTGCAGAAAGATGCAGATTGCTATTCTCTATCTAATGGTATCAAAATCTCAAAATCGAAAAAATGCGAGTTACGCTTTTCTTGGTTGTCACGGCAGTGTGGGGTATCAGTGTACTCCATCAATTATCACCGACCTGTACTGAATACAAGCCAAAGTACAGCGGTCGAATACAGGGTACTCCATCATTTTCTAACCTGTCTGTACTCCATGAGCTCGAGTTGCAGCTGCTGGATCTCCTGCCGCAGCAGTGAGATGGTGCGCGACGTCTTGTCCTGGTTGATAGTCACCCGGTTCTTGATGTTGCGCGCCCGGTTGGCGTACTTCAGCGTGTTGAGCGTCTCCATGAAGTCGGCGTCAGAGGGCGACACGCAGGCTATCATCACTGTCCGACTGTTACCTGTAGGGGCGAAGGGGAGAGGTGTGTCAGTAAGCAGAGGCGACTGTAGGCATAAAGCCGGGAGCGATGGAAGGACGAGTTCTAGCATCTGAACTGGCTGTTGCTCATGCCATGGTGGTGGGAGAAAGAGTATTGGGTCAGCGAAGGTGATTGCTCCCAGTCGAAGTCACGGTGGAATAATCGATTTGCCAGGCGCTGAGCTATCGGACCAGCTGCGACCGCACACATCTTCACGGTCACACAGCAGCCAGACACCGGCTCCGAAGGACTTCGACGGACTCGGGCCACCCCGCGGCCACAGGGTTGACGACTCTTACATACATGTTCTCAGCATCGACTCACCTCCGAGTGAGTCCTGCAGCAGCCGAGTCAGCTTGGAGTCCCGGTACGGCACGTGGGAGATCTTGCGTGTTTCATCACCCAGTGCAGAGATGACGTTACCCAGCGCCAGCTGAGGGGCGGAAGTGACGGGATGATAAATTTCGAGTGAGCCGGGAAATACAGTAAAATAAAGTCGGCTATCAGGGGTATAATACGGCTGACTGTTTAATAATCGAAACGAAACTTAATCTTCCGATGCAGTTAGTAGCAAACAAAAGAATGAAACACAAACGAAACCAAGGTGGTTATGCCAACAGCTTTTCCCGCTATAAAAACTGGATGGCCAAGTCCAGAAATCGGACTCCCGAAAATTTAATGTACTGCGTCTGCATGCCTCAGCCATCTTACAACCAGGTTCTTACGCTATCTGCATCAGCTCACCAGTCCGCAGTTGATGGAGATGCCCTCCTTGGCTCTGTCTCCGGTGGCTCCTGTCCTCTTCAGTCGCTCCGAGCCGGCCAGGTCGACAAAGTGGAACTTTGCCGAGAGCGTCTCGAACTCGGCGGGCTGCTCCTGTTCGCCTCCCTCGCTGCTGCTGATGCCGTCAGCCGACTCCGTCTCACCGGCAAAACCCTGGGGTCAGAGGTCAGGTCAGGTCAGGTCAGATTGGGTTGGGTCGGGCGCTGATACCACCACCGACCTCGTCTCACCGGAGAAACCCTATGAAGACAAGAAACGTCAGATTCATTTCAGATTGTGCAAAAATGTTAAATGTCAGGTCGCTAAGGTAGACAGACAAAAATGAGATCGGCTCTTCACTCGGGTCAAGCCGAACAATCCTTAGGCCTTGACACCAGTCGCGTGCATCACATGCCGGTGCAACAATATTCCGACTATGCATTTTGATGAGGAATAACGATGGATAAATCAATCGTGTTACATCGTTGATCATTAAAATATAAAATAGGCATCATTAAAACTAGCAATGGTCGACGAGATATCTTGCGAGAAATGTGCGATGGCATTCTGTAGCGAAGCTCAAGTGTTTGGAGTCCAATGAGATGAATGAAATGAGATGAATGAAATTTTTGTGAAGTGGACGCTAGAGCACTGAGCAAAACAAAGTCATTGAGGCGAATTAGCGCACACAGACACACCATGATATCAATTCGTGAAAATGCTTACCGTGATCGCGTACGTGTGCACGCGACAGTCTGGTATGTTGAGCGTGTTGATTTGCGCGCGAGATGAGAGGCCTAGGCTAGATAGCGTCGTCCCCATATTTTAGGCGATTCTGATATCGACTCGAAGTGACAAAGATCAAATTTCAATGACCTATATGCTCCACTCAATGTGTACACACCACTTCAAATACTACGTCACGGAGAGCAACAAGCTCATTCTGATCTCATCTACGCCAATCTTGCGTTGATCTTGCGTCCGTCAATCAACGAGAAATAATAACAAATATGGCGCCAATGCGTCTCTTGACCTTGAAAAACGGCAAAACAACGCGCGCCACTAAATAAAATGAGTTAGCACTAAAAAATAGCGATGTCACTAAATTTACAAAAATGCATACCTATTTCCACCAGAATCTAAGTTATAGTTAGGTACAGCCCTCTGCAAACTGCGTGGTAGGTATTCTTTTTTGGACAAAACTAAAAATAACGCGAATACTATGCTATCGGTCACTCAGAAATCGTAAAAGCAAGACGCGCGAGACTTCGTACCCTAGATTGGCATTACCATCGTATTCATTTTCCATCCAGTCTGGCAACAAAACCGAAAAGTGTATATTTGCCCCCAAAACAAACTTTTGCATTTTGTTGCCACACATGGCGTATACATTGTTTAGTGATAGACCCAATCGAAGGAGTGGAGCGTGGCGCATTTATTTGCAGTCAGTTCCGACCGAATGATAACATAGCTTTTGAGTTATTACCAGTTTTCTCGAAAAAAGAATACCTACCACGCAGTCTGCTGAGGGCTGTACAAGTTAAGACCTAAATAATGCACAAATAATGTCATTAGGTATAAAGTAAGCTGACCAATCATAGCTTTGGTTTACTACATACCTCATCCGTTCGTTTTTAGGCTGCGACTGATGAAAGCTCTAAATGTGGGATTCCGCCCGATCCTATCCTTTGCTCTTGTCGATTACATTGCTGAGACTTGGGCTTAGCCGAAAAAGAACTCAGACAGAATTGTGGCAGAAATGGTGTGACTCGGTCGCTGTTATTTGGAAAGCCCCATACCACAGGTCAGCTTGTCAGTGGTTTCAGCGCCTGCCAAAACTGAAAACTGTTCTGACTGCCGGCAACGTTTTGAGCTCCCGCCCTAGCCCTTTTATTCCGTACCCCCCCCCCTTCCCCGTTCGCCCGCTAGGTTCTCAGTATACTCACGCTGTCTGCTCGTGCCACGCGCATCTGTTTGATGATGAGCGTGAAGATGGCGTGGCTGCGACTGCTCTGGACGTTCATCTGGGTGCTGGCCGTGGTGCGACTGAGCGCGCCCACGCGCAGACACTTGAGACAATCCTCTGCCGAGGTGACCGCGCGGCAGGTCACCCCCATCGTGTAGATGCCGCCGCCGGCGTCCTCGTGGATGCGAATCGCAGACTTCCGACCCTGGGGGATAGAGGACGGCCGATTAGCTCGCACTCAAAAAATATTGCTCTTGAGATAAGTAGCCAAATAAACCAAACTGATCGACTAAAAATATCAAAATTCATACATTAGTTGCCTTCAGCGTTCCAATTACAAGCGGAGATCCGCGGGGATGCTGATCTCCCCTGAACTCCGCTACCCTCCCCTGCCCTTCACTAAGCTGACCCCCGCGTCCCTCCACCGCCCTCACACTCACCCTGTTCACACCAGACTGGTCCAGCAGGTCGATCACCTCCTCGTTGTACAGCTCCATGAACTGGGCGCTGATCTTGAAGTCGGCCGCCGGTTGACCGGCCCTCCGCGCCGCCTCCTGTCTCTCCTGGATGCCCCTGAAGAGGTGGTCGACCGCCCGAGGGATGATACCGGCCGACTCCGGTCCGGCGTCCATCTCGAAACCGGTACCCATCGTGTATGTTTTACCGGAGCCCGTCTGGGGGAGAAGAGAAGGAGGTTACTTCTCGTCTTTCAGGAAGGGCATTCCCATGTTGCCGCTCGGTAAATTCATTTTACTACTCCTACAGAAGATCGCTTCACCCCGTCCCGCCAACGAGCAGCACACCTGCCGTCGCGTCGTGGCCGCTACGTTCCCTGCACCACTCGCCACCCATCCCCTTCCCATTCCGACCCTGGAAGGCCCCGACCGATCTCAGTCCTGACTCCCATCCATCATAAGCCCCGGTCGGGCTGTCACCACGGGAGTGCCACCGTATGGCGCACAAGGCGTGGAGTCGTCCCAACTCCCAGGAAACTGCGTAAAGACGGGTTCCGGTGCCCAAGTGAGGTAGCGTGGAGCGCATACCAAGTCAAAAGTCAGCGCTAGAGCGTCAGCGAAGAAAACTGGACAGGGCGGCCGCGGCGATATGTCGGGACCGGAAGACAGAACAGGCTGGTGACGTCTGTGAAACGTAAAAGGAGAGAGACACGCACATGGAGTCCACCGGCGAGGCTATCGTGGTATCTCAAACGTCAGGGATGGGACTGGAATTCGGACCGAAACCACTGAGCAGGCTGCGGTCGACCTTTGAAAAAACAGCCCCGAACTTTACCGAACAAAGTTCGCCGATCTCTAAAAGTCAGCGAGTTTTGTCGGTTCTACCGAGCTCTGGCCGAGCACCCACAAGAAAAACATACAGACTCGACGCATATCCAGACGATTGTATACTAGAATATCTGACGTAATACGCCACACGCATTAAACCGAGCCGAGCCACATGCATACATTCAGTCCGGGCTAGCCACTATGAACATAATGACCCCATACGCACAAACGGTTGCTGAAGAGCCGCAGTGACTAAAAGCAAGAGGGTCCTGCAGCATATCAGTCTGTCACCGGTAGCAACTCATTACACTCCGACCTGAGATATGGCGTGGCCACGCTATGGCCTCGGCTATGAACCGCCACACTGACACGCCAGTCGAGGTCACAGCGGTCTCACACTGTGGAGCTCACAGAAGTCACACGCCCCAGGGGTCACAACGGTCGCCGGTTACACTTGCGGTCGGATGAAGGATGCTTCCGGTACAAAATGCGTAATACTAGTACAATGGCACCCCTCTATTGTTTGGCTTGTCAGTACTAAGTTCAAAATCATAAACGCATATTGACTATTAAGTCAACAGTGTTGTAAATTTTTAGGTAAATGCAGTGATTGTTAATGTTAAGTCTCATTATCAAATCATAGCGTGATTTAGTGTGGAAATTGGCTATAAAGTTCAGCTCAGGAAGTTGCGTCAGCGTGCTTATGAAACGGTTAAACCATCGCAGCGTCTCAAATCCGCATGCATCACACGCACATCAGTAAAATCACGCAAGCCTTGGCGTCACTCCTCGATAAATGAAATTAGGTAAATGTTCGCTTTCCTTTCCCTCCTAGGGCCTGCCATTTTCTCCCTAACTCTGTGAATAGATCCCAGCTGTACCCCCAGTAACGGTTTTGGACCTGACAATGGGCCGGTCCTGTCCGCTCCCAGACCCAGTGCCGATAGCTGCGTCCCGGCCTCCCCACGCCATGCCGGATGGACGGGAGGGCAGACCAAATACAGCGGCGGCGTCCGGCAGCCCGGGGCGCCGTCCCCGACGCACAATGGAATCAGGCCCGGCCTCGGTCCGTGGAGGGACGACGCTCCAGGGTCCAGACAGTACAGCCGTCGCACACAGCTGACTGCTGGGTCTGTAGGAACTATTAGGGTATGGCCCAGCGCAACAGAGAACAACACCGTGAGGCTAGTTAGACAAAACAACAATAGTCTGCGGAGTCGCTGCAACGGCACAGTACTCCACTATATGCAGAGATCAAAGGGCAGAAACCAAAACAGGAACCCGCTAACCACAAAGTGTCTCTGCCACCGCATTGCAGACAAAACTGATCTCTGCCGACACGGGCCAACAGTGGGCCACTTCACCGAATTGCTACCGTCGTTCTTTTGTCGAGTCCGCAGCGTGATGCGGCAGACATGAAACAGAGCAGCCGACACAAAACATCAATTCGGCGTGACCTGCTTTGATGTTGCCGCCAGCGCGAGAACGGGCAGAGATAGATACCGTCCCACATCCCAGAATTAACCGGCACCAGACACGCTGCGGTAGCAGTAGTTGAAGAGGGCCTCAGAGACGTCAGATGGGTCATCTGGGAGATTTACAGACAACCGAAAATGTAGAGGCTGAGCAGTGAGCACGACAGACATGAATATGAATGCTTGCAGCCCGGCTCTCAGCATAAAGGGCTGGCTCTCGCGGATCGGTGTTGCGGACACGCGATATGCAATTCAGAGCAGAGCTCCACTTGGCCAGACCCAACAACCTGTCTGATGTAATTCAGTCACGGCCAAATTCGTTCGGCTGCCTGGCCGTCAAGATAGAAACCTACATAACAATTAACAGGAGGGCGCATGCTGTGCCGTGAGAGCAAGAAACCTCACCATGGGATCTAACGTCATATTCGCACCTTCTATTGTCTAGCAGACACTTCGGTAATGTGTCTTCTCTTTTTACCCTTCCACACCTTTCGGCCTTGAGACTCGCGACAAAAACCGCCGGTAATAACGGTTAGCTCGACCTCGGTGTCGCCCCCCCCCCCCCCCACGTCCCCTCGATGACTCCCTGACTGTGTTGTTTTCCAGACTGGAGGCCGACGTTGACCGCCCACACGGCATCGTCTCACATCAGACCGAGGGGCGGGTCCGTACTCCGGCTCAGCCCCCGGGTGAGACTACCCGACCACTGGATAAACAACTCGCTCAGGGCGAAGCGGGGAGAGATGGAAATCACCGGGCCGAATCACCGGGTAATTACCCTCCTGCCGCTGCGGTGATATGTGGATATTTATCAATGTCCAGCGGTATCTATATTCGGGCACACCCCTATGGATCAAGTATTCAGTAGCTAGGGGCGGTCCGCAGCCGGTAACGAGCTGCCGGATACAATAGTCTCGGCAGTTTGCGCCGCCGACAAGAATGGCCACTCAACAATGCTCCACCTTTGAGGGCACATGGGACATTGTTAAAGCGGCACTAACTTCTGAATTTAACAAGGGCCACTGGCTGCCAGCGTCACAGGTAAAGGCGGCTGTGCCACCAGGCTGCGACATTTATTGAACGAGGCTCAGCTGAATGTTCAGCGCGACCGACTCCATACAGCGGTTAGAAGAATATGAAGACCAGTGAAGCATTCGAGCGTCGTTTTCTGGGGATGGCGTAGGAGACGATTGCCCAGAGAAAAATATATCAAATGAGACGGAACAGTGTTTCGGGTTTGTCCGAGCATCGTCTGAAATGGGAAGCTACGAAGTCTACGAATGGTCTGGAATTCAGCAGCTGCAGTGTGTCTCTGGATATGAAAAATGTAGCAGGAGCTTATAAAACTATCCAAAACTGAGAAGAAAATTGCCTGTTTGGCATTAAACTAGCATTGCAGAGGAATACTAAGTTGACATCTGCCACGCGTACCCATTCACTAGGTCTTGATAGAAGAACGTGACTCCCTTCACATCGATCTAGCCGAATCGGAAATAACAGGTGATTGCTATTCGTCTCGCGCAGTGCGCACAGCACAAATATTTAAACGTCAGCGTTAGTATCACGAGTAAACTGTGCCCCGCACCTGGCGCGGACGCCTGCCAATAACATCTCAATCACTAGGGCGTAGTCTTAAGGTCCTCAGCACTCACAACATTCAACACTCAATCCTCAATACTTTGCTACTCACCTGTCCATAGGCCAGAATGGTGGCGTTGTATCCGTCCAGACATCCCTCGATGAGCTGCTGCGTGCACTGGCTGTAGATGTGCTCCTGCTCCGAGTCCATGTCGAACATATAGTCGTAGGTGAAGGCCTTGTCGGAGCCCAGCCACACCTGCGGCTCGCCGGGGGTGACCGAGGTACACACCCGACACATGTCGATCTTCTCGCGCGAGATCAGCGGCCGGATCCTGCCGGAGACGGAGGGGGAGGGAGGTCAGAACAGGCAGGTTATTTGAGTGATGCAGACAGTCTCACAGACAGATCATAGACAGATCACATAGACAGACATAGACAGATCGCAATTCAAAATTATGCTTCTCTGTCTGCTCCCGTCCGGAAGTAGTCAGATTCAGGTGTGTATCAAGAGTCTCATGTGAGCACATTTATAGCTAATACAGTATAAGTACCAGTAGGGATTAAGCTATTAAAAACCATACCAATCATCAAATAATCATGTCCTTGTCTTTCGAAATGGAATCTCTTCATAAATCCTAATGAGTGATTGCTTTATTTATCTCTCAGACTCGAGACGTACCAGAATTGATTTATTATATCGCCTCCAAAATCAGTCAGTAGACAGTAAGGTCTCGCAAAACACTGCCCTTGTCAATCAGCCGAGGAGCTTTACACCCACGATAGCGGTTTTATGACAGATATTAGTGCGTGTCAAATTGTCAATCATCCAGAGTGGCTAGTAGAGAGATTACACTTAACAGGCTTTGAGGGTTCAGAAGCATCTCAGTGGGAAGAGGGCGAGTTTATTCACCAATAATTGATTGGAATCGGCAAACACTGCGGAGATGGGCTCTTACACGATAGGCACTGGACAGGGGCACCACCCTATAATCCGGCTTAACCAATAACCGAAAGCCATTAGGATAATATGCTGGCTGTGACGATGCCACGATAAACGCGCGTTCATACACAATCTGAACGGCTCTCTCGCCCACAAGGGTATAGGCTCTGCTCCGATAGTTTTTGACTGTGCGATCAAACTCAGTCGGGATTAGGAGTAATCCCTCGAACACACCCATTCACAGGTTCACTCTGGTATGCGTCGCAGAGCCTCAGTCACGTGCCCCTAGTCCAGCCGAGGACAGTGCCCCTTCCTCTGTGGGAGGACAGGCCGTGGGAGGACGAGGAACGGCGCCAGTTCCTCGCAGCGTGCCGAGGACAATGAGAGGAGCGGCGCGAACATGGGGAGCTCGTTAAAGCGCCGCCTCTGCAGCTCGGACTTACAATATCGCTAATGTCGCCTCTCTGCTGAGTGCTGAGTTTGTCAGTCCTCTCACTGCCGCTCTACATAATTTCCCAGGGAGATTAGGCATAAATTAGCATTTCAGAACCCTTCCTTCACTGAAATAATAATGTCAACATACGAGTGCTAGGCATTTTGCAGCCTGCATTTACGTCATGTTGACTGTTTTACATGAAAAGTCGTACGCAAATAAGCATGGAAAATGCTGCTTCTATTTAGGACGGCTGGTTGGAATATTTATTTACAACCATAGCTGTGATAAATAATCAGTACGTACTACGTTCACAACAAAGATGACTGTGCATTATTCCAACGAGGAGCTTCAATGCTTATGGATGAAAACCTGGACTCGATGGCAGTTGCGTCACTGGTGACTGAAAGCGCAGCTGGTCCTATAACCGTGGCGGTAAGACTTCATCCTATCCGCTGTAGTTATGACGAATGTCGGCCGGCGGCCGCTGGATTGGGACAGGCTCCCGCCGCACGTGGCCCCAATCCGGGCTGGCACGCGCCGCCTCTCCCGTCTCAGTCCGGAGCGTCACCAGCTGGTAATCTGACCTGCGCGCCGGGTCACCGCCCGCCCGCGGGTGGAGTCTATCGGCAGCCCGCCTGCGGCCGGCCGGGCCCTCCACCCACCCACCGGCCTCCAGATGGCCCCCGGTGTCGCAACGGGGCGTCAGCGCGTCTCGGAGCGACCCGATAGCATCAGCGGCGCTGGTCGTCGACAGTGATGACAAATGTCAGCTCACGCGGCCGCTGGCTCGGCTCCCCGGAAGCGCCGTCCCCTCCCGGAGCTACACAGGCCGGCATTATGCGGCCGGCTGTACTGAGAGACATTTATCAGATGGAGATGCCTCCAGTAGCTGCGTGTCTGCACGCTCCCGCCAGCCACCCGGATATCGGAGGGTTACCAGGGCAGCTGGGTGGATATCGGCCTCGGGGGTCCATTTAGATTGGTGAAACATTCATGAACTGTGTGACCGCAAACGGCTCCTGTCAGGGCAGCACCTGGGACGAGGACGTGTGTCCCACTACAAGGTCAGCCGGCGCGTGGCAGCGGGCGACACCGACCACAGATCGAGTGTCGCGTGCCCGTACCCGCTCCTCCTCCCCAGCCCCCAGCCGGGCGCAGAGGCCATACGACGCTCACCCCCAGGGAGGGGTGCGGATCAGGTGTCATAGGTCGGGTCGGTGCCGCCGAGCAGCGGCAGGTGACAGGCGACAGGCGGCTCTGCACTCGGCACGATAGAGACGTAAGCAAATCGCAATGCAGTGAATCGCACTAGTTTTAGACAAAGCGTCGGCACACATGCACTTCAATTTCAAACCAAGTGGTCTTCTAAATGGCTAAGCAAGAGCAACTAAAAATGCAAATAAAAAAATAATGGGCGGTTCTGCTGGAACTGCATGACATTCTGTGTTAAAAATTCGCTTTCACTGAAAGCCTTTTATAGCTGACCGTTTTAATTATCACCGCTTTTAAATGTACTGACCCAAGCGCAATTCGCAACGACTCTCCGGCAACACAGCTGGCGCCGTCACAGTGCTAATGGCATTGCCGAGTGGCAGTCCGGCTGCTAAGGTCACTGTGGCGACAGGCCGGCGCCGGGCCGTCTGGAGCCAGCCGCGGCTCTGACCAGTGACTAACTCTGTCGACCATTCCTGAGAGAGCCTGGGGCTTCAGCCAGCAGCGGGCGGGGATAGACGTCAGAAGTCGGCCGCCGCTCGGGTCAGCTTTACCGACCGGCGACCATTTCTGAAAGAGCCCCAGCCGCGACGGAGATCGGCTGTCCACAATCAAATCCACCGGGACAGGAGCCGCGCTGTCTGCGGTAACTCGGTAAGGTCACAATGTCCACCGCTGTCCTCAGAGACCCAACTCGTACGGAGACGCTGACAGCCGGTGGAAAGGTCTGTTCCAGCCGGCGGTAACACAGCACACACCTGCCGTCAATGGAGACGGTCTGCTTTTTGTTGGTGACGATGGAGTCCGTTAGATTCCAACACAACGTGGAACGGAACGCCCAAGAGGCCGTAAGCGACTAGACGGCAGCGGTACTACAGCTGCGACGTCTATCAGATCGGAGACAAAGGATTATCTTCTCAAGCCGGGGATCATCTGTCTGCTTCTTTTTCTGAGGCTACATCGCACACGTTGTTTTAGCTCTAGCCCGTTACATTCTGATATCGTCATTGTTTCTGGTGTTACCCCATCTCCCTGGTATATGACGGCAGCGCGGGCTAATATCATCGCCCCCCCCCCCTCCCCATTCATTAGCCGAATGCAGCAAGTCTTCGGCAGCTACCAGCCCACTGCCCTGACCTTCTGACCACCACCACACACCCATCACCCTTCCGCGGTCACCATGTGCGACTGGACACGGCGTTACGGCACCGGCTGGCGATGATATGCAGCCATACATGGCACAGTGCTCATACATGTGTCGAGCAGCACTGAAGCCGTGTCTCCAGTCTGTCATACCGCTGCTCGAAGGGAGCTGGTGCGGGAAAGGCTAAACGAACATCTGTCCGTGGTCGTCTCTCTGCTCTTCGTGTTTTAAATCGCGGCTGAGTGAAATTAATAGGATGAGGTGTGATGTGATTTAATGAAATCACTGTGAAGGTTTTAACTCAAGCCGGTTAGCGGTTAGCCCCTTGCTACCACGCTTACTTTATCGTTCAAGAAATCACTTTCATTACCGTTATCACTAAGCCCACGCCCAAAACTGTGCGACGTTGCCGGTAGCTACCAGGGACTCCACCTATGACGACCGTTCTGTTTTTCACGGCACGAGGATGAGGTCGCTGTCTGACAGACCGTCCATTCAGTTTCCTGCACAGCCCGGCCGATCACCTGTGAGTTGGGAGCCGGTCCATTGAGCCGACCCGGTGCAGTGACTGCCACAGTCGAACCCCGCCGACCGGATGCCTGCTGCCTACCGAGCGGCAGACCCGTGCCAAAAACCGGTTCGAAGGCAGCCGACGGTGATGCTACGGATGGCACTCTCACTGAATGGCCGGTTTTTGCTTTCAACGCCGTCACGGTGCGGTTGCAGGACGGTGGTTTAAACTGCACGTGTTGGCTTACAGTAAACTTGATACGGTCATAGCGAGCATCGCTAAGCATGGACATCAAATCTGCCTACTGGCATCGATGCATTAGCATGTCCCACAATAGAACCGATTAACGTTACAATGACACACATCCAGCGACTGGCCCACGGAGCACTCACTGGCCAAGGCCAGACTCGCCCACACCAGGCGGATTAACGTCCGCGGTGATCCAAAGTCCCAGTAAATGACTGCACCGTCAGACGTCGTTAATCCGCATCACTAACAAACGTGCTCATGACAGCTGAGATACTGCCCCGTCAGCGCCCGGCGCCGTCGTATATGCAATAGCGACCACCTGTGTTAGTTAGTTGTTCCCATTTTATTACGGAGCGTGCGTGACCGGCCCCTGGGTGGCGCCTATTTGTGACAATGGCTACCGAAACCTGGAGCGCGACACGGTAACCTGGGAGCGGGCTGAGAGACCACCCAGTAGGCAGGGCGGTGGGTCAGCGGCGTCTAACAGCGGCCCGCGGCGGCCCACACACCCCGCCGCCCAGGGTGGCACAAACGCCGTCCGAGGAATTAATGATCAGACGGTCAAGGCAACTAATCATTGCCAGGCCATCTGCACTGATCGCGCTGTGTCACTGCGCACCTCCCCTGGTAATATTCCGAGAAATGAGTGCTACAAATTACAATCAACGCGGTGACGGCGGATTCCAAGAGAGAAACACTGAATCCACTTACAGATGAAACGGCACTAAATCTGGTAGGCACCGGCATCCCGGAAAGCGAGCGCTTCCCCTGAACCTTGAACGAGTTCGAGGCATCATAAAACTTTCAGAGCGAGCAACAGGCCGACATTCCTGAAAGTCA